CTGTTTTTCTTTATAGATGTGAAAACTAATAAAAAAGGTGAAAAAAATAAAAAATGTAAAATGGATACAAATAAAGTAATAAAATATTTGGATGGAAAATTTTTTAAAGAAAGTTTCAATTCTACAAATGACTTAGATATATTAAGAGAATTTATAAAAATCTGTAATGAAAACAAAGAAAAAGATTTGGCTGCAGAATATTTAAATGCAGGTGGCAATATTTTTGATATATTAAAATTATTAAATACAGCAGATAAAAAAGAAATGAATACTGCTATAATTGTGTTTTCTGCAATAAGGATATTAATAATAAAGTAAATGTTTTATAATTATAATTCAAAGTTTATACTTATTAAAATATTGCATAATTATATGTTTAATATTTATGTTAATTTTTGTTTATCTTTAGAATATTAGGACAATATCCACAATATCAATCTAGTGCAAAAGAGGCATGTCGTCATTTGATTAATTCAAATTTATCAATAATTCATTCAATGTTATCAATACAAAGTAATGCAAAGCAACAAAAAATAATTTTACAATTACTTGCTGCAATAGTTTCATTAGATTTAAATCTATCACGTGAATTGCTTATTCATTTGTCTTTACCATTAGAAGTTATTAAGTTTCTTGTACAACATAGAAAACCTACAGATAATCATAATATAAGAAATTATTTCATTCATTTTATTATGGCTTTTTTAATAGAAGGAAATGTACCAATTATCAGACTTCTCTTGGATAAACGTGATTTGTTTTCTAGTATATTTTCTGATTTAATATATGATTCTAAAGATATTGTTATTTTAATTTTAAGTACTCTTAAAACTTATATTCTTCATAATCCAAATATTAACAAAACTATGAAGTTACAATTATTTTCAACATCAATTATTCAAAATCTTATATGTCTTTATAATTGGAAAGGTCCAAATAATCACCCAAAATTTAAAACTCAAAGTTTTATGCCAGAAACACAATATCTTGAAGAAAAAGAGGTATTTATTATTAAAATTTTTTAATTAAAAATATTAATAATTAATTATATACTAATAATTAATATATCAATATAAGATATACTAATAAGATATACTAACAATATAATATAATATAAAAATATAATATACTAATAAATAATATAATATACTAATAATTAATATATCAATATATCAATATATATTTATATTTAATATTAATATTAAGTAATAAATAATATAAATATTAATAAAACATATTTTTATTTAGATAGTTATTGAAGTCGTGCATGATTTTTTAATTATATTGTTAACATCACATCGATATGGCATTATTTTTCATGATTATATGCTTGGTACTTCACATATTAAACATAATAATATGGTGAATATAGTACTTCAAAGTTTAGATCGACCTTGGGAATATGAAAAACCATCAAATTTAGTTATTAAAATAATGGCAGCATGTCCAGATTTAATTAAATCTCAATTTGTTTTTTTGGAACCATATATTGAACCCAGAGTATCATTGAAATGGATTGCAACAATAAAATTTATAAGAGAAGTAAGTAATTTAAATTTTTATTCTTTATATATTATTTATATATTATT